TGCGTGAAGAGTGCACTATGGAAGGAGGGAGGGAAGGAAGGAAGGAAGGAAGGAAGGAAGGAAGGAAGGATTGGAGGGAGGGAGGGGAGGGAGGAAGAACAGAAGGAAGGAAGGAAAGACTTTTCAGAGACTGAATACAAAATCATACCCTAATCAAAAAATCTGGGGCCCAACCATTGAGGGCAGGGAGAGAGATGAGCCACTGCAGGAAGGAAGGATTGGAAGGAAGGGAGGGAGGGAGGAAGAACAGAAGGAAGGAAGGAAAGACTTTTCAGAGACTGAATACAAAATCATACCCTAATCAAAAAATCTGGGGCCCAACCATTGAGGGCAGGGAGAGAGATGGGAAGAGCCACTGCCTGACACTGAATCAGGACTCAAAGTCCATACACTCATCCAAAGGAACGACAAAAATAAAGGCTTGAATGCAACAGTGGGTCCCAGGGAGAGTAGATTCCTTGCACCAGAGGGGAAACGGATAAGTCCCAACTGAGCTCAGTTTCACTGATTTTAAGAGGTCCAAACTCATTTAAAACACTGGATTTGGACAGAAAAGCCAAGAGGAAAAGGAAAGGGGTTAAGAAGGGGGCCTGGAAACCTGGCTCCTGGTCGGGTGAAGGGATGGGAAGCAGAAGCTACATCAGAAGCATCTTAGCTCAAACACAGACAGCAAATGGTATAATCGACTTCTTTTTCCTCTCCTCAGGGCACCGTCATCTTCCCTGCCCTGAACTCTGCATTGTACAACAGCAAAGAGTTTCCAAACCCCACAGAATTTGACCCACAGCATTTCTTGAACAAAGACGGGACCTTCAGGAAGAGTGACCACTTCATGCCCTTCTCAGCAGGTAAAAGGGCTCTTCCCTCAATGGCCAGTCTCCCAGCCAACGGCGCTCTTGACCAGCTCTTTGGAGGCTCCCTCGTCTCCCACCACTCGGGCAGGGAGGGGTCACTGATAGGGGTCAACGTCAAACCATTCCTGACTTATCCTTACCAATGAGGGCGAATAGTCACACAAAATGATGGTGGCGGCTGCTTCCTCATGTTGACTTCTAAGGATGTTGAACATCAGAGAGAGTGTTTAAACCTTCTTGTTTAATCCATTCCTTCTGGCCTCTCTCTCTCACTCTTTGTGTGTGTGTTTCCAACCGGTGGAGAACTTGAGGGAAGTGCTCCATCTCCCCCTCTTGCTTGGAGGTGAGGCCTCTCATTCCAAATAGAATGACAGCAGCATCTTCTTCTTAGTTTCTTAGCCCTTTAAGGTCTCAAAGCAGCGGATTGGGTGCTTGCATATTTTTCAACTATCAGCCCTTTCTGCTAGGCTTGCTACGAATGTGCATGCTACTGAAAGGGAAACGGGCATGAGATTGTGCAAATTAAGAAGAAAGAGTGGCTGTTTTCCTCCCTCTTGCCAAGAGGGCAGGCATGTATCCGGCCTGAGGGGTTTGCCTGGGTGCTTGCATCTTTTTCAACTATCAGCCCTTTCTGCTAGTCACATCAGCCTGAAATTTAGCTCCTCGTTGAGTGAAAATGAAGGAAAGCAAGCCCACAGTCTGGGTTTCACCTCTCCTACCCTGCCTTGCTCTTCCCCACCACAATGACCAGAATTGAGGCTGCAGATAATGTTCTGAGGAGGTGTTCCTGGAAGGCCACATTCCCCTTGACCTTGTTGTGAGGTTCCCCCCTCCCCCAGCTGTTGAGGAAGACTCTCTTCTTGCTTACCTTCCCGCCTTGGTTTCCCTTGCAGGTAAACGGATCTGCGCAGGGGAGGGCCTCGCCCGCATGGAGCTGTTCCTCTTCTTGGCCAGTATCCTGCAGCACTTCAAACTGAAACCCCTCAAGGATCCCAAGGAAATCGACATCAGTCCCCTCATGAGTGGCACCGTCACCTTCCCTCGGCCTTATCAGCTCTGCGTTCTCCCTCGCTGAGGAGAAGGAGGCCTCTGGCCCACCGGATGCCGTCTGGCAGTTGACCAGTTCAGACCTTGGGACTGAGCCTGTCTACATTTTCCAGCCTACCTTGTCTGAGCAGCAAAACTGTAAATTTTTAAACCCCTGAGAGCCCTTTGCTTGAATGCAGGGAATCTGTTTTCCTAGAAGAGGGGGCCTGTATTTTAGAACATGCAGCAGCCTGCTTGAATTTGATTTCATCAAATGACCGATATTTCAGTTTTATTCCTTCTTGTTCACCACCAGATGTTCTTTTTTTACTGCTATAAGCTTTTGTATTTTTGGACTGAGATAAGATTGAACTTCATGTTTGTAACCTTCCTAGCTAAAAATGTACAATTTATATATATTTGTCTGACTTATAAGTATTTACCTTTAACTTAAGTTCAGTCTTTATGCATTTTTAAGCATTGATATCTACCGCTTTACCTGCTTTATCTACTACGTTCCCATAGTCTCTCGAGACTGAAGGATGCCTACGTCATATCTACTGCTTTTGTTCACGGCTGTAAAAATTTTATATTGGATCATATGTCTTTGACCTTTTAGGTCTTTGTGTTTTTTTGGATTTTTTGTGCATAGAAGTAATTAAAACTAGAAGATATAGACTAATGCTGCCAGGACTCATTTCTCTATTTATTTCACCATGAGTAGAAATCATGGTTTACTCTTATCCTCTGAAGTGGGACTTGCTTGGAAGGTACTTTTCTCATGAACCAGGCAGGAGCAAGTAAATAACGTATACCTTGATCACACATTAGAATGTTGATATGCTTGCCATGATTGTCTGGTTCCCACTGGTATTCAACCCTATCAGAGATAAATGTTCTGGTGCTACAGACCACGACAGACTCCAACTACTATTTAATAACCACGTGCCATGAAATAAATCCTGACTTATGGCAGCTCTATTCAGGCTTTTCCTTCCCTTCTTCTGGAGGCATCCCGGGACTATGCAGCTTGCCCAAGACCACACGAGGTGGCTTTACTTGGAGGAAGGCCCAGCGGAGCGGGGGGGGAATTGAACCCCCAGCCTCTGGCTCTGCAGTCAGATACCTAAACCACTGAGCTATCCAGAGAGTTCATACAACTCAGAGGTGTTATAAAGATCTGTAGCGCTCTGAGGGTTTTCTTGAGTATTTTCTACTTTTGACCATGACAAAACAGGGATATCAAATCGTCCATGACATGAAGAAAGGAGACAAGGAAGTTTTGTAGAAACGTCCAGTCACCGTCAGAAGGAAGGAAGGAAGAGAAACAGCCTCCCTGTCTTGCAAACACCCTTTGGGGTTCCCTCCCGGGATGCTGAATTTGCAGGACGGCTAAGCAGAAGGCTGCCGATGTGCCACAAGGGGAGCAGAGAGTTTGGGGAATCTCCAGAACTACAGTTTGGAGACTCTTTCTCAGCTCTTCTGAAGCAGCCCCTCTGGTAACCAGCAGGCTCTCAACGCCATGTCCAATTGCAGTGGGACAACCTAGCCAAGGCTGTCTCTCCTTAGATGTACGCACAAGACAAGCAGGAAAAGACCCCAGGCGCTTGTGAAAGGGTCAAGCAGCTTCTTAAGGACAAAGAAGCACAAAGGAATAGCTGCCCAGCTTCACAAAACCAGGCATCTGCCTGAATGGTATGTGCTGTTTTGTGGTGATGATGATAAGTAGAGTTGTAGCTCTTCCCGTCTACGGGCATGTCCTTCAGGTTCGGAAAGACTGGGAATAGTCTCCCCTTTCGAAAGGGATAAGCAGTGAACCAAAGGTACCCAAAGCAGCTCTGAAATCAAAGCAGGGCTCTCCGAACTCCGAAATACTGACTTGGCGATTCAGAGGGGTTAAATAAGCTGACATTTTTAAAAAAAGTTGGTAAACAGAAGTAATGCATAAGGTGACAAGAAAGTAGAGAGAGACTGACAGCTCAAGCACCAATGAAAAGTCCAGTCACTGAGCTGCTGGGAAGGAATTCTTCTGCCAGCTTGCCAGGTTCAGAATATTTATTTTATTTGTTAGTTTGTTTTATAGGCTTTCTTCCAATAAGGAGATCCAAGGCAGCTCGCAGTATTAAAAAGAATATAATCAAAAACTTAATAAGTGAAACATTTTTTAAAAAAATGTTTAAACTATATGCTAATTAAAATACAATTGAATAATTAAAAGGAAGTGAAGGATAAAAAATTCCTTAGCTGTCAGAAGGCATTTAGGGACTCAGTGATGGTTGTTAAGAGCCTGCCTGAAGAATTGAGTTTTCAGCTGCTGGTGGAAGTATAAAAGGGAGGGGGGCCTCTTGAACTCCCCAGGGAGAGCTTCCCATCCCCTGGGAGCTACAGCAAAGAAGGCCCTCTCCGGTGTCCCCATCAGCCTTGCCTGTGCTGGCCATGGGACTGACAGAGGGAAGTCCTCCAAGGATACTAAGCACCGTGAAGACCCACATGGGGAGAGACGGTCCTTCAGTTCCCATTGCTTTCCCTTTCTGGGCAGAGGGAGAACTGGAGGATTTCTGCAGGTACACATCTCAGTCTAACCAGTTGGACGCTGGGGTTGCAGGAGCGTGAGGGTCAGGAGGACCGAGATTTCTGCCTCCTTGAGGACCACCAAGGGTTGATGGCAGTGAGTTTCAGCCCCAGCAAGTCAGAGCTTCCCCGTTTTCATCCCCAACCCCACATTCAGATGTATACAAGTATGTATGAATACTTTGCCCAATTAATTGTCACTCTTCTCCCCATCAAGGACAATTTTAGATCCTGCCATTTTTTGAGATCCTTCTGGATATCATCTAGTAGTTTCATGTAATTATCTTCTACTAGGTTTTTTTTTGTAATTTTTATTCCTAAATGTTTAATCTTTTTCTCATATTAGAAATCTGTTTTTTCCATTAATTCCATTCTTGTCTCTTCTTTGATGTTCTTGATTATTATTCCCCCCTTTATTTACTTTAATCCCAGCTAACTCTCCAAAGGTTGCTAATATTTACATCAATGGTATTATTGATTTAGTTGGTTCTTCTAATATAAACACCAGGTCTTCCTCAAATGCTTGTAATTTGTATTCTTCCCTCTTATTTTTAATCATTTTATCAACTCATTACTTCTAATTTGATTGTTAATCACTTCCAACGTAAGAATGAAAAGCAGAGGAGATAGAGGGGGCATCCTTCTCTCGTTCCTTTTTGCAACTGTATTTCTTTAGTTAATTCTCCATTGACTTTTATTTTAGTGCTTTGTTGTGTATAAATGGCTCTTGCTAGTTTTGTAAATCTTTCCCCAGCTTCTATTACTTCTAGATGTTGTAGCATGAAGTTCCAATTGATGTTGTCGAAAGCTTTCTCGGCGTCAAGGAAGATCACAGCCATTTGTTTTTCCGTATGTGTTTCATAGTATTCTAAGGTGTTTAATATTATTCTTATATTGTTTCTCAACAGTCTTTTTGGTAAAAAAAAACCCGATTGGTCTTAGTGCATTATTTGGATGAAGATTTTTTTCAATCTGGTTGCCAATATTGTTGCGTATATTTTATAATCTAAATTTAGAAGTGTGTCAGCCTCCTCACACGACACAAAGGAGCTGCCACGTCACTCTCTCACACACACTTTAATCATGCTGCCACCAACCATTCCTTCAAGTGAGACTTCAGGCAAATGTATGATTTTTAAAATAAAAACTTGTGTTTATTGAACATAACAAAAGGAATGGTAAATCACTGTATTAACTAAAATAATAAGGCAATCAATATAAAGTATCACACACACATACACTCTCTCACAGACCTTCTATATATATATATAGCACAGTACTACACAACAGGTACAAGCCCTAACTCCTATCAACCCTATCCAGTCCCTAACCAGACCCTATCTCAAACCCTATCTGACTCACACCTCATTCAGTCCCCCTTAAATACCTTAGCTCCACCCTCTTAAGTCCCACCTCCCGTCACGCTATTGGCAGATGACATACCGCCGCAGCTATGACGGGCAGATGATGTCACCACTACTGTAACAAGAAGTGAGATTGGTCTATAATTCTTTATTTCTTTCTCATCTGGTTTTTCTTTTACCTATGAGAGTGGTCAACACCTCTGTCCATGTCGAAGATATTTCTCCTTTTTCTTCAATATTTTCCAATAGTCTCTTATATGGTTTTAGTAATGTAGTTTCTAATGATTTGTAGTGTTCTGCCGGCAATCCATCTGGACTTGGCGTCTTCCCTGTTTTCTCTCTCTCTCTTTTAAAGTCTTCAACAATCTCTTTAGATGTCAATGATTTGTTCAATAGCTGATTTCGTTCTTTCGTTAATCTCATTTTACTGTGTTTTCCCAGGAATTTTTACTGTAGATCTTTAGCTATGTCTTTTTCGGTGTATAGATTTTGATAGAAATTTTCTATAATTTTTAAAATTTCCTCCTTGTGTTAATTTTCTATTCCTGTACCGTCTTCCTGGCGTGCACTGGTCCATAGGGTCATGAAGAGCCAGACACAACTTAACAACTAAACAACAGCAACAATCGTCTTTCAAGGTTTGTATTATTGATTTTTCTTTTTTTTCTTAATTTTTAAGCCCACCATTTCCCCGGTATATTTGCATTTTTTAAAAAATTGTTTCACACTTTTTATCTTCCT